CACTGATTGAACATTTGAACGTTTCTAATAATTATACCTGTGACTAGAACGTTTTTTGGACCATAACTTTGAGAAAAAACCATTAATAATCTTCTCATTTATATCTACAGACGCTAAAGTGTAGCAGTTATAAGCACAAATATTTTCTTTATATAAATATTTGTGTTGACTAGTGTAGTATATTATCCGTTATATTGATTTGTTTTTCGGTTAACGATAAATCGGTTTAAATAAATATACAGAGTAGTCGAAAAACAATGCCTAGATTTTTTTTTTATTTGATAATTTAAAATATGGGTATTCATTTTCGATCACCCTGTATGTTAGTGGACAAAAGTGGTTATTTAAATTTTTTTTTTTTGGGGGGGGAATGTGTGGGTCGTTTTATGTGTGGGTCGTTTTTAAGTGTGGGTCGTTTTTATGTGAATTTTTGCAACTTGACTCGTCTGAAGGGTGTAGATGACGTGTTGGTGACATATTTAGTCGTGTTAGTTATGTGTCTGTTGGTGACGTGTTGAGACGTGTTGCTAGTGGAATAATGTTGACGACGTATTAATATTGATGGTGACGAGTTGGTGACGTGTGGGTGACTGCCTGTGGTGACGTGTTTGTACATGTTGAGACGTGTTGGAATATGTTTGTCTGGAATATATTGTTAATGACATGTGACGTACGGTTGGTGACGTGTTAGTGGTGACGACGTGGCAGGTAACAAGCGTGGAGAGGACGAGGAGGAACACCAAGACTGTGGCCCACCTCACCTCCCGACCACCACCGAATCATGAATGCTATTGACCCTCCTCGTCCGAATGTCTGCAAAAAGGCTTCCACTAATTTCTTATCTTTTTCTATCTCCTTTTCCCCGCTCGGTGATTACAACTCCTTATTAGCGGGTTTAGTATTCATTCGACTCTACAAAACACTATCATCATCATCACCGAGGCGGGCCGGGTCGGGGCGGGTTGTGTGAGCCCTTCTGTGGACTTGAGGCATCGGGTAGGCGCAATCGAACGGCGGTTGTAAGCGACCAATAGTGGTATCGTCATGCAGTTGGATTGGCCAATCAGGATGGAGAGATTGAGTCTGTTTGCTTGTGAACCTGGAGGCCAAAATCCTTGTTTTAAAAAAATTGCATTCCTAAAAAAATATTTCTTAGAGACTGAGGAACGAGGGGGTGAGGGGTGGAGCTATACATTACACGAGTGATATGTAGTTTGGGGATATATCCTGGTTGGCCTCTCCTCCAGGCAACAACAGACGGCGTAGGTAACATGTGAGGAAAATTAAAAACAATGAAGGAAACTACGACTACCTACGACTAGTTCACAAAATCCTTGAGCTCTGATGCACGTGGAAGTGCAAGTTGTTTACTACCCCGCGATAGTAAAGTTTGGTACAATTAATATATTATTATATTTACACTTCTTTGGTTAAAAGAAAAAACTTTCTTAAGAATCCTTACAAGGTACAGTACAAGACCTACTCGTCAGCCATACCGTGGAAACTTTGGAAAATAAGCCTTGTTGCTGACCGCCAGAAGGCCCGAAATCGGTGGTGACGTCATGAGTGACGTTATGGCCGGTACAAGCAACACAGTGTTTCACGTGATATCACCGGATAAGACCATTTAACCGTACTCAACATTATGCAATAAATGGGGGAGACTTAAACTAATTTTGTACAGAGTGTCCTGACAGTCATGAGTTTCACAGTCAAGCCTTCCAACAGTGTCAAAATCACAATGTTTATTATTAATTATTATTATTATCATCATTATTATTTTCTCACATTTTCTAAGTCCAATATAAAGCATAACAGTTGACCCTGAGAGCCAGCCGGGACTGAGGTCACTGCTCTCCACCATGAGGTTGACTGAGGTCATATCAAGAGTTAGGGCACTGTGTAAGTCACCTTCTTGACCTAAGTGGGTCATATTGGCCGACCCCTGATGCAGTGGACGACGAAATGGCCGTGCCGGTGGCCCTCCGTGGCCCTGCATGGCCCCGGGAGGCCAGACGGACCATCACCATCATCCTGGAGTGTCGGGGCGTGACACCCGCCGACGTACCCGTGCTCCGCCTCTCCTACAGTATACACCAGCATCGTACAAATATATATCACTGATATGTACGACAAGGCCCATTGTACGCCTCCACCCACTGGTCACCGTGAGTGTCCCAGGGTGGGCGTCACTGCGTCAGCTGTCGCGTAGCTTGGTGGGCGTGGGCGGCAGCATAGGCGTAGCTATACGCCCACGAGGGACCTGGTGCCACCCACCGGTCCCCCGCGTCACCCTGGTCCGTCCAGAGTGGGCGGGGTGTGGGCGGGCAGGGGGCGGTGTTGGAGACGGTGTTGGGTGATGGGCGATTCCCCTGCTGCTGCTGCTGCTGATGCTGATGCTGATGGTGGGCGGAGCGGGCGGGCAGGTCCAGAGCTGGACGGGCACCAGGGGAGGCCATCCACTACGGAACAGGAGTGTGCGGCGGCATGGGCGACGTCATCATGGAGCCCATGGATGTGTGCATGTTACTGCCCGTCATCTGCTTCTGTGTGGCGGCAAACTTCATCCTCTTCTGCTTCTGACGCTGGTTACAGAACCAAACGCGCACCACGTTCTTCTTCAGGTCCAGCTTCTCGGCGATGGCGGCGATCTTCTCCCCCGAGGGCCGAGGCTGCACCGCGAAGTACGCCTCCAAAGAACGCTTCTCAGGTGCTGCGATGGACGTTCGTTTGCGCTTCTGGGAGCAACAAGAAAACATGTGTCATAGTCTCTTACCACCTGCTGTACTGTACTGTACTGTACTGTACTGTACTGTACTGCACTGTACTGTACTGCACATTACTGCACTGCACTGTACTGCACTGTACTGTACTGTACTGTACTGTACTGCACTGTACTGCACTGTACTGTACTGTACTGTACTGCACTGCACTGCACTGCACTTTACTGTACTGTACTGCACTGCACTGTACTGCACTGCACTGTACTGTACTGTACTGTACTGTACTGCACTGCACTGTACTGCACTGCACTGTACTGTACTGGGTACTGTACTGCACTGCACTGTACCGGCTCAACATTACCGCATCGCACTGCACTGTACTGTACTGTACTGGTACTGCACTGTACTGCACTGTACTGTACTGTACTGTACTGCACTGCACTGTACTGCACTGCACTGTACTGTACTGTACTGTACTGTACTGTACTGTACTGTACTGCACTGCGATCGCACTCTACTGTACTGTACTCTCTATTGTACTGTACTGTACTGCACTGCACTGCACTGCAGTGTACTGTACTGTACTGTACTGCACTGTACTGTACTGTACTGTACTGTACTGCACTGCGATCGCACTCTACTGTACTGTACTGTATTGTACTGTACTGCACTGCACTGCAGTGTACTGTACTGTACTGTACTGTACTGTACTGCACTGCACTGTACTGTACTCTAATCTAATAAACAACAACAGTAGCAGTGTTTACCGTCAGCATGACGTCATAAACAACAATGCTTGTGTTTACCGTCAGCATGACGCCATAAACAACAATGGTTGTGTTTACCGTCAGCATGACGTCATAAACAACAATGGTTGTGTTTACCATCAGCATGACGCCATAAACAACAATGGTTGTGTTTACCGTCAGCATGACGTCATAAACAACAATGCTTGTGTTTACCGTCAGCATGACGCCATAAACAACAATGGTTGTGTTTACCGTCAGCATGACGTCATAAACAACAATGGTTGTGTTTACCGTCAGCATGACGCCATAAACAACAATGGTTGTGTTTACCGTCAGCATGACGCCATAAACAACAAAGGTTGTGTTTACCGTCAGCATGACGCCATAAAAAGCAACAACAGTTTGTGTTGCATCGGCGCGCGGCATCGCTAACAATGCGCGTGTTTACCGTCAGCATGACGCCGCTGGCCAATGGTTGTTGCCGTCAACATGGCGTCGCAACAGCAATAGTTGTGTTTACCGTCAACGCGACGTCGCTAACCGCTAATGGTTGTGTTTACCGTCAGCATGACGTCATAAACAACAATGGTTGTGTTTACCGTCAGCATGACGCCATACACAACAATGGTTGTGTTTACCGTCAGCATGACGTCATAAACAACAATGGTTGTGTTTACCGTCAGCATGACGCCATAAACAACAATGGTTGTGTTTACCGTCAGCATGACGCCATAAACAACAATGGTTGTGTTTACCGTCAGCATGACGTCATAAACAACAATGGTTGTGTTTACCGTCAGCATGACGTCATACACAACAATGGTTGTGTTTACCGTCAGCATGACGTCATACACAACAATGGTTGTGTTTACCGTCAGCATGACGCCATACACAACAATGCTTGTGTTTACCGTCAGCATGACGTCATACACAACAATGGTTGTGTTTTCCGTCAGCATGACGTCATAAACAACAATGGTTGTGTTTACCGTCAGCATGACGTCATAAACAACAATGCTTGTGTTTACCGTCAGCATGACGTCATACACAACAATGGTTGTGTTTACCGTCAGCATGACGTCATACACAACAATGGTTGTGTTTACCGTCAGCATGACGCCATACACAACAATGCTTGCGTTTACCGTCAGCATGACGTCATACACAACAATGGTTGTGTTTACCGTCAGCATGACGCCATACACAACAATGGTTGTGTTTACCGTCAGCATGACGTCATAAACAACAATGGTTGTGTTTACCGTCAGCATGACGCCATACACAAAATGGTTGTGTTTACCGTCAGCATGACGTCATACACAACAATGGTTGTGTTTACCGTCAGCATGACGTCATACACAACAATGGTTGTGTTTACCGTCAGCATGACGCCATACACAACAATGCTTGTGTTTACCGTCAGCATGACGTCATACACAACAATGGTTGTGTTTACCGTCAGCATGACGCCATACACAACAATGGTTGTGTTTACCGTCAGCATGACGTCATAAACAACAATGGTTGTGTTTACCGTCAGCATGACGCCATACACAACAATGGTTGTGTTTACCGTCAGCATGACGTCATAAACAACAATGGTTGTGTTTACCGTCAGCATGACGCCATAAACAACAATGGTTGTGTTTACCGTCAGCATGACGCCATAAACAACAATGGTTGTGTTTACCGTCAGCATGACGTCATAAACAACAATGGTTGTGTTTACCGTCAGCATGACGTCATACACAACAATGGTTGTGTTTACCGTCAGCATGACGTCATACACAACAATGGTTGTGTTTACCGTCAGCATGACGCCATACACAACAATGCTTGTGTTTACCGTCAGCATGACGTCATACACAACAATGGTTGTGTTTACCGTCAGCATGACGCCATACACAACAATGGTTGTTTAATGTCAGCATGACGCCGTACACAACAACAATGGTTGTAAGCACGTCAGCATGACGCCACACAACAATGGTTGCTTACCGTCAGCATGACGCCATAAACAACAATGGCTAAAGCTACTCGTCAGCATGACGTCATACACAACAATGGCTGTGCTTACCGTCACATGACGCCATAAACAACAATGGTTGTGTTTACAGTCAGCATGACGTCATAAACAAATAATGGCTGCTATCGTCAGCATGACGTCATAAACAACAATGGTTGTGTTTACCGTCAGCATGACGTCATACACAACAATGGTTGTGTTTACCGTCAGCATGACGTCATACACAACAATGGTTGTGTTTACCGTCAGCATGACGCCATACACAACAATGGTTGTGTTTACCGTCAGCATGACGTCATACACAACAATGGTTGTGTTTACCGTCAGCATGACGTCATACACAACAATGGTTGTGTTTACCGTCAGCATGACGTCATACACAACAATGGTTGTGTTTACCGTCAGCATGACGTCATAAACAACAATGGTTGTGTTTACCGTCAGCATGACGTCATAAACAACAATGGTTGTGTTTACCGTCAGCATGACGTCATAAACAACAATGGTTGTGTTTACCGTCAGCATGACGCCATAAACAACAATGGTTGTGTTTACCGTCAGCATGACGCCATAAACAACAATGGTTGTGTTTACCGTCAGCATGACGCCATAAACAACAATGGTTGTGTTTACCGTCAGCATGACGCCATAAACAACAATGGTTGTGTTTACCGTCAGCATGACGCCATAAACAACAATGGTTGTGTTTACCGTCAGCATGACGTCATAAACAACAATGGTTGTGTTTACCGTCAGCATGACGCCATACACAACAATGGTTGTGTTTACCGTCAGCATGACGTCATAAACAACAATGGTTGTGTTTACCGTCAGCATGACGCCATAAACAACAATGGTTGTGTTTACCGTCAGCATGACGCCATAAACAACAATGGTTGTGTTTACCGTCAGCATGACGCCATAAACAACAATGGTTGTGTTTACCGTCAGCATGACGCCATACACAACAATGGTTGTGTTTACCGTCAGCATGACGCCATACACAACAATGACGTTGTTGTTTACCGTCAGCATGACGCCATACACAACAATGGTTGTGTTTACCGTCAGCATGACGCCATACACAACAATGGTTGTGTTTACCGTCAGCATGACGCCATACACAACAATGGTTGTGTTTACCGTCAGCATGACGCCATACACAATAATGGTTGTGTTTACCGTCAGCATGACGCCATACACAACAATGGTTGTGTTTACCGTCAGCATGACGCCATACACAACACACAGTACAGTAATATGGACCTCAATAATTAACACACAACTGGTGCACTACACAACCAATAACAACTCAAACAATAACTATAACAAGTCAGTTATATAAGAACTGAGTTATATATTATAGGTCTCATTCCAAGTACTCTTATATAATGTATAGTGTGTTATAGTTGATGTGTTATACATAGTTTATATATATGTGAGAACACCAACACTGTAGAGCCATATTAACTGTGGCTCTACCTGGTAAGTACCTGGAGTGGCTCTATTGTTCTAACTACACACGGTACACCTGTCAGCTTACAGTGTTGGCTGATTTATGAAGCTGTCAGCTTACCGTGTTAACAGATGTATAGCAACATTAGCTTACCGTGTTGGCTGGCGTATAGAACTGTCAGCTTACCGTATTGGCTGATTTATAGAACTGTCAGCTTACCTTGTTGGCTGGCGTATAGAACTGTCAGCTTACCGTGTTGGCTGGCGTATAGAACTGTCACCTTACCGTGTTGGCTGATTTATAGAACTATCAGCTTACCGTGTTGGCTGGCGTATAGAACTGTCAGCTTACCGTGTTGGCTGACATATAAAACTGTCAGCTTACCGTGTTGGCTGACATATAGAACTATCAGCTTACCGTGTGAGTACATAACTTACCCCCATCAGTACCGACGTTAACTCACCATCTATAAAGTACTTACATTAACCTACCGTATATATACCGTAGCGACCGACCGACCGACACACACACACACACACACACACCTGGATCTCTCGTGTGTGTGTGTGTGTGTGTGTGTGTGTTTGGTCGGTCAGGTGAGGTTATCTCAGGTACACCTTCATTAATTAGTAAACATGCGACACAGGTAACAAGTCCTTTCACTCAGCAGCTGGTCTGACCTTCCGCCTCATACGTGCTTCTCTATACTACCGAGTCCTCTATGTGACGTAAACTGCTATTGATGCCTCTATTACGGGGCTTTATTGATGCCTCTATTACGGGGCTCTGTTACGGGCTCTATTACGGGGCTCTATTGATGCCTCTATTACGGGGCTCTATTGATGCCTCTATTATGGGGCTCTGTTACGGGCTCTATTGATGCCTCTATTACGGGGCTCTGTTACAGGCTCTATTACGGGGCTCTATTGGTGCCTCTATTACGAGGGCTGTGATGCCTCTGTGCAGGGAGCTCTATTGATGCCCCCTCTGTACAGGAGCTCTGTTACGGGCTCTGTGCAGGGCTCCTATTGATGCCTCTATTGTGAGATTCTGTTACAGGCTCTGTGGTGCCTCCTATGCAAGGGCTCAGATTGCAGGGGCTCTGTTGAGGGTCTGTTGCAGGAGCTCTATTGCAGGGGCTCTGTATGCTGAGCTCTGTTACAGGGGCTCTGTTGCAGGGGCTGCTACAGGGGATCTATAACAGGGGCTCTGTGCAGGGCTCTGTTACGGAGCTCGTGATGCACCTCTGTGGGGGCTCCTATTGCAGGGGTTGTTACAGGGGCTCTGTGGTGCCTCCTATTACGGGGCTCTATTGCAGGAGCTCTATTACAGGGAGAAGCTCTATTGCAGGGCTCTATTACAGGGCTCCTATTACGGGGCTCTGTGCAGGGCTCTATTGATGCCTCTATTACGGGGCTCTATTGCAGGGCTCTATTACGGGGATCTGTTACGGGGCTCTATTACAGGGCTCGATTGCGGGGTTCTATTACGGGGCTCTATTGATGCCTCTATTACGGGGCTCTATTGCAGGGCTCTATTACGGAGCTCTATTACGGGGTTCTATTGCGGGGCTGTATTGCTGGGCTCTATTACGGAGCTCTATTAAGGGGTTCTGTTGCGGAGCTCTATTGGTTATGATTTCCGCATTTGGGTTCTGTTTCGAGGTTCTGCTTGTCTGCTTTCTGTGTGTGTGTGTGTGTGTGTGTGTGTGTGTGTGTGTGTGTGTGTGTGTGTAAACACAAGTCTCGATGCCTGAGCACTTTCTCTTCCCGGTGTTCAATATAAGCCTGAATAAATGACACACACACACACACACACACACACACACACACACACACACACACCAGTAAGGTTTGTGCTGCCTGGATCAACTAAAATGACCTTTAGCTCTCTAACCCATCAACAGTAACCCCCACCTTAACCCCCATAAATAAATATATACATAAATAAATAAACCAAAGTATATGTATAAAATGACAGTTATATGTATACTGAACGATATGTATGAAAGCCCACTATGTATACTGATCAAAGTGTACGAATGATTTTTTATGAATACTGAATAAAATGTATAGATGTATAATGGGTTGAATCTTTTGGTTAATTAAGGTGATGATCCAGGTGAGTAATTAATGACCTCGAGTGAGTACAGGTAGAGAGCCAGAGGGACATACGCCTTTATGTTCAGGAGCAATAAAACCCATAACGGCGTGTCTTATGGCTTATTACCTCAATGTTTCCTGTTGGCCCGTGACACATATTGTCCGTGACACACATGGCCCGTGACACACTTGGCCGTGACACATGGCCCGTGACATACATGGCCCGTGATACATATGGCTCGTCACAAACATGGCCCGTGACACACATGGCCCGTGATACAGATGGCCCGTGATACACATGGCCCGTGACATATGGCCCGTGACACGCATGGCCCGTGTTATATATGGCCCGTGACAAACATGGCCTGCAGAATCATGCTCGGCGCAGAATACTCCGGCTACACCAACGCTCTCTCCACCCTGGAAATGCCATCCCTCAGTGACCTCCACCACCAAGCACTGGAAAGATTTGGCAGCCAACTACTGCACCACCCTCGTCATGGCCACCTCCTGCCACCCACCCAACTCGCGCAGTCCGCCACTACAACAAAATTCAGCCCATAAGAGCCCGCACCGATAGATATAAGAACAGCACCATCCCATCTATTGTTGAAATAATAAACAACTCCTGATTTATGTACTGTACAGCCCTGTAAATATATTCAACGCATATTATATCATTATGTCTAAATCAATGTAAGTCTGTATATTTTCAGCCACCGGCTGCAACTCTATTAATAAACCGTTTATTATTATTATTATTATTACACATGGCCCATGACACATTTGGCCCGTAACACAAATCACACATGGCCCGTGACACATATGGCCCGTGACACATATGGCCCGTGACACATATGGCCCGTGACACATAGGCTACCAGTTGGTCCTAATTGGTTAGCGTTGGATGTACAGTATCTGTGTTTTGTAGTGAGTGAGTGAGTGAATGAGTGAACGAATGAGTGAATGAGCGAATGAATGAGCGAGTGAGTAAATGAACAAATGAGTGAGTGAGTGAGTGAGTGAGTGAATGAACGAATGAGTGAATGAACGAATGAGTGAGTGAGTGATTGATTGAGTGAATGAAAGAGTGAGTGAATAAATGAATGAATGAATGAATGAAAGAATGAGTGAATGAGCGAATGAATGAGCGAGTGAGTAAATGAACAAATGAGTGAGTGAGTGAGTGAATGAACGAATGAGTAAATGAACGAATGAGTGAGTGAGTGATTGATTGAGTGAATGAAAGAGTGAGTGAATAAATGAATGAATGAATGAAAGAATGAGTGAATGAGCGAATGAATGAGCGAGTGAGTAAATGAACAAATGAGTGAGTGAGTGAACAAATGAGTGAGTGAATGAGAGAATGAATGAACGAATGAATGAGTGAGTGAATGAACGAATGAATGATTGAGTGAGTGAGTGAGTGAGTGGCGGCCCTCAACACACTAATACATCAGCCACAGTGAGAGACGGGCGGCTACAAGTACCTTTTAGGCCTAAGTAATAATGATATAATTCTACAAGAGGAGGCGTAAGTGTGTACCTTGTGAGTGATCAACAAACAACCACCCCTTCCCTCCACCCCTCCTTCTCCTCCCCCCCCACCCCTCCTTCTCCCCTCCCCCTTCCACCCCTCCTCCTTCTTCCTCCTTCCCTTTCTCCCCCCTCAGCCTTCCTCTCCTTCTCCATCCCTCCTTCTCTCCCTCCACCCTCTTCCTCCTCCACCCTCCTTTCTCCCCTCCTCCTCCACCCTCCTTCTCCCCCTCCACCTCCTTCTCCCCTCCCTCAGCCTTCCTTACCCCTTCCTCCACCCTCCTTACCCTCCTTGTCCTCTCCCTCCACCCCTCCTTCCAACCCTCTCGGCCCTTCTTCCACCTTCTCTTGCCCCTCCAACGCCCCCAGCCCTCTATAGCCCCTCCAACGCCCCAGCCCTTTCTAGCCCCTCCCAGTCTCCAACGCCCTCCCCCTGTGGTCTGAGTGTAGCCCTGGCTACCAGAGCGAGCCTACTGCTTTAGCCACCTCGTGTATCAAGATTCCTCAAACGTTTTATTTATTTATTTTATTTTGTAATTATTTTCTTAATTCTCAGTATTTATGTTTATTCTATTATTTATTTATTTATTCTGTGTTATTGTATTATTGGTCTGAAGGTGTTTATTTTAACCCTTGTTTACTTTTGTATCTGTCTGTCTGTCTGTCTGTCTGCCTGCCTGTCTGTCTGTCTGTCTGTCTGTCTGTCTGTCTGTCTGTCTCTCTCTCTTCTCTTTCCCCATTTTTCTTTCTCTCTCTCTCTTTCTATTTAATCTCACCTCAATTTACCTCTTTAATCTAACTCACTTGACTTATTTAATTAATCCCAATTAATTTCTTATTAATCTATATAATTATCCTTTATTTATCTCTCTGTTTGTCTTTTCTTTCTACTAATTTATCCTCGTCTGTGTTATTGAGTTATTCTTCTTCCTCCTTCCGTCCTGGGAATTATCTTCCTCTTCCTCCTCCTCCTCTCCTTCTTCTACCCTCCAGATAAACCTTCGAGGACGAGGGTTTAACTCTTTGAGGATTATACCTTAAACCATCGTCTGTTGGAGTTATAACTAAACCATCGTCCTCAAAGGGTTATTCTCACCTCATTAATCACCTTTCCATACCTTGATAAGAAATCGCCCCTTCCCTTCCCTTCCCTTCCCTACCCTTTCCTTACCTTCCCTTTCCTTCCCTTCCCTTGGTCTGTTAAGTTAATCCTGCCATTATCCACTAAATCCACCTTACGCCATTATATAAAGACCATTAAGTATACTGGACGCCTTTAAGTAGAACCGGACTATAGATCCTTAAGTGTGTGTGTGTGTGTGTGTGTGTGTGTGTGTGTGTGTGTGTGTGTGTGTGTGTGTGTGTGTGTGTGTGTGTGTGTGTACGGGCCATAATAACTCATCAACGACAGACAGACGGACATCAGATCTCAATAACTCACAGAGCACGCGAACATTGTAACAACACTGTAACTCATAAGTAATAAATGAGTAACTTGAGGTGTGAGTGACATTAGAACGCCCTTAAGAGCCTAGACGGTAACTCATAAGTGCTAGCCTACGTCACATCCTACTATATATATATATATCCGAGGACTCTGGAATCCTAATATCCTGTTTTAAGTGATCCATCGTTCATCCTCACATCATCTACCTCGCCCATGGGCAGGACGGAGGGCGCCTCAGGGTCCCGACGTTTGTTCTTGGCTTGGGCTTCGGCTTCCTCCAACCACGCCTGTAGCACTGGTTTAAGGGCGATCATGTTGTTGTGGGACAGTGTCAGGGATTCGAACCTGTGAGGTGAGAGACGGGGGAGAGATGGAAGGGTTAATAGTGATGTAGAGAGAGAGAGAGAGAGAGAGAGAGAGAGAGAGAGAGAGAGAGAGAGAGAGAGAGAGAGAGAGAGAGAGAGAGAGAGAGAGAGAGAGAGAGAGAGAGAGAGAGAGATAAAAATGAAAAAAACAATAACTGATAACCCTCCAAAGAATTATATACAACTGTTATAAGAATTCATATATTAATCCATAACTGATGTATTGATCTTGATTATAGAGAAAATTATATCCCTTTAAAATAATCTCTGTAGTACAATAACATAAATACCATCCCTTCCTTGAGTACAATAACATAAGTACTACCCCTTCCTTGAGTACAATAACATAAGTACCATCCCTTCCTTGAGTACAATAACATAAGTACTACCCCTTCCTTGAGTACAATAACATAAGTACTACCCCTTCCTTGAGTACAATAACAGCAAATATGTTAAATATTCATTCCTAGTACAGCAGTAAAAGCAGGTAAAGTACAGCAGGTAAAGACAGCAGGTAAAACTAACCCTTATGTGGTAACAGCAGGAGAATGACCCTACCTTCTTCCCCTTCGTCAGTTGATGAGGAAGAGGAGGAAGAGTAGGAAGACGGAAGGATGGAAGGAAGGAAGGAAGGAAGCAGTGTAGGAAGGAGCGACGAAAGAGGCGTAGGAAAAATGAAGGAGAAAGAGGGGAAGGTGTTGGAAGGAGGAAGAGAAGGTGTAGGAAGGAGGAAGGAGAAGGAGGTGGCACAGGAAGAAAGAAGAAGGGAGGAGACGAAGAGAGATGGCGTAAGAAGGAGGAAGGAAGGAAGGAAGGAAGAAAGGAAAGAAATAAGGAATTTCACGTACCTGCAAAAGACAAGAAGAAGGAGGAACAGGATACGTAGGAAGAAGGAAAGAAAGAAACGGATGAAAAAACGTAAGAAGAAGGAGGAACAAAGGAAGGAAAAAAAGAATGAAGGAAAGAAGGAAAGAAAGAAGGAAGAAATGAAGGAAGATCACGTACGTACCTGCAGATGGTAGACTGGGAGAGCGCGCCCACACCAGGTAACTTAAGATTAGCTAATGCCTTGCCCACGTCTGCCTGCGTAACACTCCACCTTATGCGTCGCTGTTTGAACCGTTCTGCAAAGGCTTGAGCTTGCGGGGGTCCTATTGTATGCGCATGCTGAGGAGAGAGAAAGAGAGAGAGAACGGTGTGTGTGGATAATGCTGCTGAAGGGATGGAGAGAGAGAGAGAGAGAGAGAGAGAGAGAGAGAGAGAGAGAGAGAGAGAGAGAGAGAGAGAGAGAGAGAGAGAGAATGATATTATATGGAGTAAGACTAGTGTTAATAGGGAGGGGTGAGGAAAGGGAGAGGAGAGGGGAGAGGGGTGAAGGGGGATGGGAGGAAACAGGGAAGGGAAAGGAAGGGAAGGAAGGGGTAAGGGGGAAGGAAAAGAAGGGATATACATGATGGATTAGTAACATCTTCCGCCTGTCTGATACTGCGATGGGCTGAGGAGGAGTGGTCTGAGAGATGGTAGTGACCAGTAGGGGTAGTGGATAGGGAGGGATGAAGGAGGACGTGGGGAGGAGGAGGAAGAGGGGTTGGTAGGAGAAGAAGGAGGAGGAGGAGGAGGAGAAGGAGGAAATAGGAGGAGAAGGAGAAATAGGGAGGAGAAGGAGGAGGAGAAGGAGGAAAGAGGGAGAAGGAGGAGGAGAAGGAGGAGGAGGGAGGAGGAGAAGGAGGAAATAGGAGGAGAAGGAAGAAATAGGAGGAGAAGGAGGAGGAGGAGAAGGAGGAAATAGGAGAGGAGGAGGAGGAGGAGAAGGAGGAAGAAGGAAGAAAGAGGAGGTGAAAGAGGAGGAGAAGGAGGAGGTGGATAGGCGTAGAAGGAGAGGAGGAGGAGGAGAGAGAATAAGCATAGCATTGTTTTGTGGTAATACAATTTTGTCTGTGTGTGAGACTTGACGCAACTTTGTCTGGTTAAGAAATAACACTGCTTAATGTGGTGGGTGGAGGTGGTGGTGGGGGGAGGTAGGTGGGAGGTGGTGGGGGAGGTGGTGGGAGAGGTGGTGGGTGGGGGGAGGTGTGGTGGGAGAGGTGGTGGAGAGGTGGTGGTGGTGGGGAGAGGTGGTGGTGGTGGGGGAAGAGGTGGTGGTGGTGGGGGGAGAGGTGGTGGTGGTGGGGGGAAGAGGGTGGGGGGGAGAGGTGGTGGTGTGGGGGAGGTGGGGGAGAGGTGGTGGTGGGGAGAGGTGGTGGTGGAGAGGTGGTGGAGAGGTGGGTGGGGAGGGTGGTGGGGAAGAGGTGGGTGGTGGTGGGGGGAGGTGGTGGTGGGAGAGGTGGTGGAGGTGGGTGTGGTGGGGAGAGGTGGTGGGGGAAGAGGTGGGGAGAGGTGGTGGTGGGAGAGGTGGTGGTGGTGGGGAGGTGGTGGGAGAGGTGGTGAAGAGGGTGGGTAGGGGTGGTGGGGAGAAGTGGTGGAGAGGTGGTGGTGGGGAGGTGGTGGGAGAGCGATGGTGGGGGAGGTGGTGGTGGTGGGGAGAGGTGGTGGTGAGAGGTGGTGTGAGGTGGTGGTGGTGGGGGAGGTAGTGGTGGAGAGGTGGTAGAGAGGTGGTGGTTGTGGTGAGGGGAGAGGTGGTAGGGAGTAGGACAGTGATGGTCGAGCAGTTGGAGCAGTGATGGTGAGCAGTGTTGGAGCAGTGGTGGAGGAGTTAGACAGTGTGGAGCTGCTGGAGTTGGTGCAGGTGGAGCAGTGTTGGAGTAGTGATGAGCAGTGGTGGAGCAGGTTGACAGGAGAGTGTTGAGCAGTGATGGTGGAGCAGTGGTGGAGTAGTGTTGGAGCAGTGGTGGAGTAGTGTTGACAGTAGGAGAGGAGTTGGACAGAATGGAGATATTGTTGAGCAGCAGGTGGAGTAATGTTGGACAGTGGTGAGTAGTGTTGGGACAGTGGTGAGATTGGTGACAGTGGCATGGTAGAAGTTGAGAGAGTAGTGGTGGAGTAGGATGAATGGGAGAAGGGGAGCAGTGATAGAGCAGTGATGGAGAGTGGTGAGCAGTGTTGGAGCAGGTGTTGAAGGGAAAGGGTGAGTAGTGTCGGGACAGTGGAAGGGTAGTGTTGGGGGTAGGTTGAGCAGTGGTGGAGAAGTGTTGTGGTCAGTGGTGGAGCAGTGTTGGAGCAGGTGAGTAGGTTAGTAGTGAGCAGGAGGTTGGGGCAGTGCTAAGAGGGTGAGTAGGCTGGTTGCAGCAGGAGTAGTGGTGAGTGAAGGGGTATTAGTGTGAGAGCTGGTTATGAGCAAAGTGTGGTAGTGATGGAGTAGGTTGTAGTGTTGACAGTGGTGAGTAGTGCTGAGCAGTGGTGGAGTAGAGTTGGAGCAGGATGGAGTAGTGTTGGACAGTGGTGGAGAAGTAGTGGAAGAAAGAAAGAAGTTGAGCATTGGTGGAGAAAGGTGGAGTGGTGTTGAAGTAGTGTTGTGTAGGTGAGCGAGAAAGGAGTAGCTTGGAAGAGAGTTGTGTTTGGAGTTGAGGAGGTGTTGGGGTAGTGTTGGGGTAGTGGTGAGCAGTGTTACAGGTGAGAAGTGTTGGAGGGGAGAAGCTGGACAGTGGTGGAGAGGGTAGTGTTGGGGTAAGGGTGTGGGTGGAGTTAGTGTTTGAGTAGTTGGTGAAAATAAGGTGAGTAGTATTGGGTAGTGTTGGGGTAGTGCGGAGTTGTGTCGGAGTAGGTGTTGGAGTAGTGTTGAGCAGGAGTAGTACAGTGGTGTAGTGTGTGAGCTGTGTTTATAGAGGACAGGGTAAGCAGTGTGAGCAGTGTTGGAGCAGTGTTGAAGTAGTGTTGACAGTGGTAGAGTAGTGTTGAGTAGTGGTGGAGTAGTGTTGGAGCAGTGAGTGAGTAGTGTTGAGTAGTGGTAGATTAGTGTTGAGTAGTGGAGCAGTGTTGGAATAGTGGTGAGTAGTGTTGGAGTAGTGGTGAGTGGTGAGAGTGTTGGGAGCAAAGATATGGAGTAAGGAGTAGTGTGTTAGAAAGTGTAGGAGAAGAGGGAGTAGTGGTGGAGAATAGTTGGTAGTGGAGAAGAGTTGAATAAAGGAGCAGAGGGAATAGTGGTGATAGTGTTGGAGTAGTGGTGGAGTAGTGTTGGAGTAGTGTTGGAGCAGTGGTAGGGTTATAAAGGAACTATTGATCTGGAGAAGAGTGATGGCAGGTGGAGGTGAGGCAGCCCCCACTCAGTGTTTGTGTCTGGCTGGAGTGTTAGGTGTGGGTGTGGTAGTGGTGGGTGATGTGTGTGTGTAGGTAGTGGGTGATAGTGTAGGTGTGTGATGGTGTAGTGGATAGTGTAGTAGGGTGATGGTGGATAGTGTGGATGTGTGTGTGTAGTGGTGATAGTGTAGGTGTGGTGATGGTGTAGTGGTGATAGTGTAGGTGTGGTGATGGTGTAGTGGTGATAGTGTGGATGTGGTGGGTGTAGCGGTGATAGTGTAGTGGTGATAGTGTAGGTGTGGTGATGGTGTAGTGGTGATAGTGTAGTGGTGATAGTGTAGGTATAGTGATGATAGTGTAGGTGTAGTGGTGATAGTGTAGTGGTGATAGTGTAGGTATAGTGATGATAGTGTAGGTGTAGCGATGATAGTGTAGAGTGATAGTGACAGGTTGAGACAATATCAAAATACAATGAAAATAACTATATAAAAACACGTCAACATTTAATAATAACAATAACAACAATAATAACAATAATAATCACAATACTTATTTTATATCAATAGATAATAACACATCAATTAACGCTACTAAATGACATGACTAATTAATAATGTTCATTTGGTTAGAGTATTATGATTGGGTATAATTATTTATAGGTATGATAATTAGCTCTCACCTGCCCTGGAATACCTTTAAGGACGAGACGTGTGTGAAAAATTTATTAATCAGTTAAATTTAAGGTGAGAGTTGGGGGAGTGAGAGACTCTAAATAATAATAATAATAATAATAATAATAATAATAATAATAATAATAATAATAATAATAATAATAATAATAATAATAGAAGCATATTTAGATCACCTTAAAATTAGCTTCCCTAACCTAACCTAACCCCCCCAGGTAAAGTTAAGGTGTTTAATCATCAGGTGTAATAAGGTAAGGTGAGCTAATCCCCCCAGGTGAGAGTTGGTGATGAGGTGTTGGGGAAGAATGCTACTGACGGGGGGAGTCGGGGGGGGTGCAGGTAAAGGCCGGAACCACTGTCATGATTTCGTTAATGGTGGAGGAAGGAGACGATAAGTAGGATAATGTTGATAGATAATGGACAAGAGGATGATAGGATGAGAAGGGGGGTGGGGAGGGTAGAGGAGGATGAGAAAAGGAAGATTTTTTATGTTCCTTAGCTCTTCCTATGTGATTTTTCTCTCTCTCTCACGGTGTTATCCTGCCGTGTTTAACTCACACTTCCCATAACCTGCATGTAAAGTTATTAAAGTTTAACCTGACCTAAACAGTGTGTGTGTGTGTTCAACCAATACGCCTTCCTTCCCTCCTTCCTTCCTTCCTTTCTTCCTCCCTCTCTTCTCTCCCTTACTGTTTGTCTCCCTGACTTCCTCCCTCTCTTTCTCTCTCCTTGCTTACTCTCCCTCTCTCATCCTGTTTCTCTGCTTCCCTCTCCCCACCTCTCTGTTTCCTTCCTTCCCTCACCCTCGCCTCCCCCCTCCCTGCTTGCCTAACCTGAGGCTATGCGCAAACCTCACTAGCGCAGTGGCTGATTAAATCCTTGTGTGTATGTATGTATGTATGTATGTATGTTTGTACAGGTGTGTATGTATGCATGTAAGTATTTATGTAAGTATGTATGTATGTATGTATATATGTATGTATGTATGTATGTATGTATGTATGTATGTATGTATGTGGACAGGACAGGTGTGGATGACGTTGGCACTCATTTACTCACCTGAGGGGCATGTGTGGGTGGGTGAGCCCTGGGTGTGGCATCATGGTGTTCATGGGGCTATGGGTGTAGACGGCCCCATGGAGCTGGTGCATGGAGCCCCCGTCACTCATGGGCGTGAGGGTGGTCATGGAGGACGAGGAGATAGGGTCCAACATCTCCAGGCCGTCCATACTGTGGTGACCCATCTGGAGGACGAGGAGGAGATCATTAGAGGAGTTACTTCTGCTGCTGGTGAGTGACGGTGAGTGAGTGACGGTGGTGAGTGACGGTGGTGAGTGACGGTGAATGAGTGACGGTGGTGAGTGACGGTGGTGAGTGACGATGGTGTGTGGCGGTGGATGAATGAGTGATTGAAGAGTGACGGTAATGGTAATGAATAACATATAATGAGTAAAGGATAATGAGTAACAGGTAATGAATAACAATGAATCATAAACACAGAATCAATGCTGAAAAACAAGGCGATAATAAACAACCATTAGTAAGCAAACAGGTAAAAAATAACAACCCTCTTCAACACAACACAGTACAACAAGTTATTACAACCTCGTCTCTATCACTTACAAAAATCACAACACAAGCTCCCAAGCCCTCGCTAGCATACAGTGACCCCTCTCTCTCTCTCTCTCTCTTCATGTTGACCTTTGACCTGGGAGGGGGAGGGAGGTCAAGGTAAGGGGTGACATGACCTCAGATGTAGGAGTTATGTACAGGGGAAACTCGTGTATTTAGCTGATTATTATATATTTTGTGTGTGGTTAAATACTACTACTACTACTACTACTACTACTACTATTACTACTACTACTACAATAAAATAAATAAATAACTACTACTACAATAATAGTCACACCTTCGCCGCCATTTTATTACCTTAATATTAAATATCCTAATACATAAGTAGCTACCCTAGCTGTGTTGAGTTAGTTGAACCGCAGATCTATGCGGCATTCAGTGACTGTTGCCTCATAGTCAATATCTGCAACTGTTGTCGGCTTTGGGGCCGATGCTCTCGTTCCCCTGAGGCAGAGCAAAGCAGACCAAAGGAGAGAGCAGGACAGTCGACATCTCATCCAGGCTGTAACAACTTCTGGGCTGCTGCTTCTGTTCGGAGATCAACTCCGCGAGTCTGGCGTAGAAGCATCTTGCACTTGGTCCCATCCCACCAGAGGTTGTGAACATAGAGGAGTGAAGCTGCCTTGATCAACGTTCTGAATTCTCTCCCCGTATGCCCTTATCTTGTCGTTCTCGTTCCTCCTGTGCGCAGCATCGAGAGCTAAGTTACGGTGACATGCGGCCATGGGATAAAAAATCCTGATGTCGAAGAAGGCTCGCTGTCCCCGCGTCCAGAATCCTCGAGCACTGACGTCAACACGGGCTTCGTTGGATGTGTTTGAAGTCCTACTACTACTACTACTACTATTACTACTACTACTACTACTTCTACTATTACATAAAACATACACAAATACACCCTACACATTAAAACATACACACATACACAAAAACATGCATACACACATACACCCGATACATTAAAACATACACACATACACATAAAAACATACATATACACATACACCCTACACATTAAAACATACACACATACACATAAAAACATACATACACACATACACCCTACACATTAAAACATACACACATACACATAAAAACATACATACACACATACACCCTACGCGACAAACACCTTAAGAATGACAGCAGTAAAAGAGCCGACCAGCACCCAGCCCCGGCCTCATAAAACAGTGGTGGATATACGCCCGAGTGAGTCGCCTACTACTACTACTACGACTACTACTACTACGACTACGACTACTAATACTACTACTACGACTACTACTACTACGACTACTAATACTACTACGACTACTACTACGACTACGACTACTACGACTACTACTACTACTACGACTACTAATACTACTACTACGACTACTACTACTACGACTACGAATACTACTACGACTACTACTACTAATACGACTACTACTAATACTGTAAACAACAACAATAACAATAAAGTAACTATTTCAACAACAACAACAAGAACAGTAACTATGTCAACAAAAAACAAGAACAGTGACAACAACAACAGTGACAACAAAAACATTGACAACAACAACAGTGACAACAGTGACAAACGGTGACAACAAAAACGGTGACAACAACAGCAATTGACAACAAAAAGCATTGACAACAACAACGGTGACAGCACCATTATTAACAACTAAAGCTAACAACAGTAACAATAGTCCCCCTCCAGCCAACTACGGTCTACCACAGCTAACAGCAGCAGCAGCAGTAAAAAGAAATATATGCCACAGTAAACAACAACAACAATACAGTAAGCAACAAGCAATGCACAGTAACAACAACAGCCCACAGTAAAGCAACAACAGCCATACAGTAAACAACAACAACAACAATAGTCACAGTAAACGCTTAACGGCCACAGTAAGAAACCTTAACAGCCGCCACAGTAAACAGCTTAACAGCCACAGTAAACGGCAGCAGCCGCCACGGTAAACAACAACAACAACAACAATAGTCTGATAAGCAACAGCAGCCACAGTAAACAACAACAGCCGCCACAGTAAACCCAACAACAGCCACAGTAAACAACAACAGCCGCCACGGTAAACAACAACAACAACAATAGTCACAGTAAACAACAACGTACAGTAAACAACAACAGCCGCCACGATGATAAACAACAACAGCCACAGTGAAAGCAACAACAGCCGCCACGATGAAGCAACAACGGCCACAGTAAGCAACAACAGCCGCCACGGTAAACAACAACAACAACAACAATAGTCACGATAGTAACAACGGCCACGATGAAAACAACAACAGCCGCCACGATGAAGCAACAGCAATACAGTAAACAACAGCAGCCGCCACAGTAAGCAACAGCAACAACAATGGTCACAGTAAACAACAACGGCCACAGTAAACAACAACAACAGCCACGGTAAACAACAGCAGCCACAGTAAACAACAACAGCCGCCACGATAGTAACGGCAGCCTGATGAAGCAACAACAGCCACAGTAAACAACAACAGCCACAGTAAACAACAACAGCCACAGTAAACAACAACAACAGCTACAGTAAACAACAACAACAACCTCAGCAGCAGTACAAAAAGTTTCTACCGCAGCTAAAACAACAGCACCAGCAACAACAGCAGTAAGAGAAGGTTCTACAACAGCTAACATCAGCAGCAGGAGGAGCCCACATCTACTAAGCTCGACACAAGACATTCTACTGCGGCAGGAGGTGAGTGTGCGTCAGGTCACGTGTTAGAGGTCCCTGGAGGTGGCAGGGCCGCTAACCTGGCCCTCTGGGGGACACTCAGAGGGCCAGGCTAGTGCCTCCAGGACCATCACACCACACACTCACCGCCACACCCAACACCAGTGCCATCACCACACCTAAACACCGCTCGGACTGCTAATGTTGATTTCATCTCCACCATTTTACTATCAAAACCCTCTTCTTATTCTCCTTTCTTCCTTTTATTCTTATTCCTTCCACCGTTATTCCTTTCCGTCGTTATTCCTCTCCTCGTTATTCCTTCTTCGTTATTCTTCCACCTTATTCCTCCACCGTTATTCCTCTCCGTCGTTATTCCTCTCCGTCGTTATTCCTCTCCGTCGTTTGTTTTTCTGTCGTTATTCCTCCGTTTGTTTTGGTTTTTTTTTCCGTTTATTCTTCCACCGTTATTCCTCTCACCGTTATTCTCTCCGTCGTTATTCCTTCCACCGTTATTCCTCTCCACCGTTATTCCTCTCCACTTTTGTTATTCTCTTTATTCCTTCCACCGTTATTCCCCTCGTTATTCCTCTCCGTCGTTATTCCTCTCCGTCGTTATTCCTCTCCGTCGTTATTCCTCTCCACCGTTATTCCTCTCCGTCGTTATTCCTCTCGTCGTTATTCTCTCCGTTTGTTATTCCTTCACCGTTATTCCTTCCGTTTTCCTCGTTATTCTTCCGTTATTCTCCGTTATTCCTCTCGTTTTCTCCTTATTCTCCCCTTCTTATTCTCCGCCGTTATTCCTCTCCACCGTTATTCCTCTCCGTCGTTATTCCTCCACTTATTCTTCCGCCGTTATTCTCTCCTCGTTATTCCTCTCCGTCGTTATTCCTCTCCCGTTATTCCTCTCCACATTATTCCTCTCCGTCGTTATTCCTCTCCGTCGTTATTCCTCTCCACCGTTATTCCTCTCCGTCGTTATTCCTCTCCGTCGTTATTCCTCTCCACCGTTATTCCTCTCCACCGTTATTCCTCTCCACCGTTATTCCTCTCACCGTTATTCCTCTCCGTCGTTATTCCTCTCCGTCGTTATTCCTCTCCCGTTATTCCTTCCGTCGTTATTCCTTCCGTCGTTATTCCTCTCCACCGTTATTCTCTCCGTTATTCTCGTTATTCCTCTCCACCGTTATTCCTTCCACCGTTATTCCTCTCCACCGTTATTCCTTCCGTCGTTATTCCTCTCCGTCGTTATTCCTCCACCGTTATTCCTCTCCATCGTTATTCTTGTATTCTTTTCTTGTCGTTATTCCTTCGTTATTCCTTCCGTTATTCCTCTCGCGTTATTCCTTCCACCGTTATTCCTTCCCGTTATTCCTCTCCACCGTTATTCTCTCTCGATTATTCCTCTCCGTCGTTATTCCTCTCCGTCGTTATTCCTCTCCACCGTTATTCCTCTCCGTCGTTATTCCTCTCCGTCGTTATTCCTCTCACGTTTCTCCACCGTTATTCCTCTCCGTCGTTATTCCTCTCCACCTTATTCCTCTCCACGTTATTTCTTTTTTGTTTTTATTCCTCTCCGTCGTTATTCCTCTCCGTTATTCTTCCACCGTTTTCCTCACGTTATTCCTCTCCGTCGTTATTCCTCTCCGTCGTTATTCCTCCTCCGTGTTTTCTCTCCACTGTTATTCTCTGTCGTTTTCCGTTATTCCTCTCAGTTTTCCTCTGTTATTCCTCTCACCGTTATTCCTCTCCACCGTTATTCCTCCGTTCTTCGTTATTCTCTCCTCATTATTTTCCGTCGTTATTCTACTATTTCTCCGTCGTATTCCCGTTATTCCTCTCGTCGTTATTTTCCGTGTTTTTTCGTTAATAAAATCATTCATTTATCTCTATATCATATCAGTATT